GAGGTGCTTCCTTGATCACCTGTGAAACGAGTTACGTGTCTAATAATAATCAAGGTGTGATAGCTACATGTAAACATTCTAAGAATGAACGTTCTCTGGTGAAATAAGGTTGGCCATCCTGATATCTTCTCAGCTTGTTCAAAATTAAAACATTTTGCGGGATGATTCACACCTCAAGTAGTGGGCTTGACATTGGCGTATAGTTAATGTTAGTAAGTGAATTGGTGTGGAAGTTCATAGAACGGAGTAAGTTCATCATAAGTATTGGGGCTGAATTGCGAACGAAAATTTTGTTTTTTGCTAAGAGAAAGTGATGAACGAACTTATATTAATTTCGTGTTGTATAAAAGTGGGAGCAATAAGGGCTGAGTTGTGTACGAAGAGAATTTACTTTTCTCATCATCTTGTTAGTGTCGAGCTCGCCTCAAATTGATTTGGAAAGATTTGTGGGTCAATTTTCAATATTGCGTGAAAAGAAAATTTTAGGGTATTGCGTGTTAAGTATCTATTTTAGGCATGTGCATCCAGTTTTTCTCATGACATATATTATTTCGATCTTGCGCCTTAAATTATTTTTGGTACATGATTTGGCCGATATTCTTGTCTGAAACTTTTTGCGTTATAGATGGTAACTGTATCAATTAGATTGGTAAGTGATCTTTTTGGAGGGAACGATTTTAATATCCTACGTCGTGTTGGTCAAATTTTTTGAATTTCAAATTCTTAGAGCCGAACCGTCTTATAACTGCCTTGGTAACTGTGATTTATGTTTCCTATATCATCATTATCTCCTTTGCTTCTCTCTCATATCAATCATAATCTCTGATTTGTGTGTTCTTCTAAAAACTCTCTAACATTCCTTCTTCAAGAAAATCTATACCTCTCGACAATGCCTAAATCCAAGCAGGGCACCGTGAAACCAAAGAAGAATGTTCCTCCGCCCTCTCGGCGTTCAACTCGTCAAAGTCAGACTTCCGATACTCCACCAGATCTAACCCCTTCAACCATGAAAACTAAGAACATTCAACGTCCCGTTAAATCCGCAACTAGGGTTTCTCTAAGCCCTAAAATATCCTCAACGACTAAAGCTTCTCAACCTGAAGTCGCTGAACCTAGTGACAAAGGAGGAAAAGGTTCTCCGTCTGTCGTCAAATCTCCAAAAAAATGCAAGAAGGTCGCCGAAACTGTCGCACCCAAACCCAAAAAGGCGAAGAAGGTCGTTCATGTGCCTGAACCTGCTGCTGGTACTCCTTCTCACACGAAATCTGGAGAAGAGTCATCTCCGGATTCTGATACTGATTCTGTTGAACGTGAGGTTACCAACTATGTTGCTGAACCTGAGAAATCAGACAACAAACATGCTGCGAACAAGGAACTTTCTCCACTTGAGAAAGAAAAAATCGTTGCTGAAGTCGATGGTGATGGCCCAGACAGTCCTCTTACTGTTGGTAATGCTTTCTCTCGTCAGTTTTATTCTCCTTTGGTTGAAACACGTTTTTCTACCATCTTTTCTCAAATGAAGTTTCGTCCTGAGCGGACGATTGATAGCAAACACTATGAACAACTTGGGTTGCTTGAACTTCTGAAGAAAGTGGGTCTTGAGGGCTCAGTCACGTCTGTTGGGAAGTATTGTCCCCGGCTTGTTGGTGAATTTTATTCGAACCTGACTACATCTGTCGTTGATCCGTCCTCAAAGAAGTTTCAGAAAGTGTTTGTGCGTAATAGTGTGGTTGAGTTCTCTCCGTCTGTTGTGGACTCTGTACTGGGTTTAGCTGAAGGTTCCTCACTTCGTCCTCTGACTGATGATCTTGATGAAGTTGCTCGCACCTTGACCGGTGGACAACTTACCAAATGGCTTGCTCCGGGAATCTTTGTGAAAAGTCTGACTCCGCCTGCCAATGCTCTACAGAAGATAGGAGCGTCGAATTGGACTCCTACCACTCACAAACAGTTTGTCACCCCTACGCAAGCTCGTGTTATCTATGGTATTCTGAATGGTACCCCATTTGATATTGGTTCTGTGATCTTTGATGTTGTTGTAAGCTTTGCGGAAATCTCCAAGCCTCATAAGTTGATGTTGTATCCATCTACCATATGTGCTATTCTCTTCAAGGCTGGAGTGAAAATGGATCCTCGACTTGGTGATAATTATTCCCCTGTTAACAAACCTCTTGCCCTTGCCAGTGTTAAGGTTGCTCTGCCTTGTCCTTCTCTTGTTAAGGCCTCTGATGTACCGTCACAGCTTCGCGGATTTTTAAATCATCATGTGGCAGTTTTCGCGGGGCTTGAAAATAAGTTGGCTGATCAGCGAAGGTACTACAAGGAGGTTCTGGGTGCTTTGAAGTCTCGTGCCCCGTTGATTTCTAAATCAAAAAAGGGGGAGAAAAAGAAGGATGTTGTTGCTACAAAGAA